CGCATTCATACATTTCTCAATACTGCTAAACAGTAAAAATTGGGTCTTCACACCCCTTGCCCAGTCTTATTGCACTTTCTGAATTTTGCTTCTTCTCACCTCTTGTTCCCTTTCAGTCAGAATTCTGCCAAACTTCTTCCCAGGCCCATTTAACAAGCTAATTCCTCTATGGTTTCTGCATTCACTCTTGATAACTTTTCTTTGCTTTCCACTCTTCCAATCTTCAGGCATAGATGCCGTCTTCACAAATATGTTAAAGAAATTATCTAGCCATTCCATAAGCAAACCCATTCATATTTTAATATTTGTTTAGTTATGCCACCTATATTTGCAGCCTTGCCATTTTCAATCTTCTCACAACATCTATGACTTCCTTTTCATCATTTTTCCTAACATTTACAGCATCATTTTAGTTCCACTATCACAATCATTGCCATACAAATCTCTAAAATACTCCTTCCAGCATTTCCTACATTTTATCTCTTCTATTTTTAATTCCATTCTCTTTGCTGGAGGCTGTTTCTGAGCATGCTAAATATGCATTAATTCAAGGCTATTTTCCATCATGTTTTCTCTTGCTATTGTGGTCTTTCCTTCCGAAAGGTTAATGTGGTATCCTCCATTACAAGCTATCTGAGGAGAGAAGAAAATAATGGATTTAAGATCAGGCCATTAGCTTTAGAGCTGTTTACAATGGATCTGAAGTTGGCCTAAGACACTGTAATCCAGGAAGCGGGAACCAGGGGCCCTCTACATGTGTCTGTACTACAACTCCCAGCAACCCTCATCCACTGGCCTTGCTGGTGGGACCTACTGAGAACTGTATCTGGAAAGTCATGGATTCTTCACATCTCTGTGAACTTCTGGATGATACTGGCCTTTGCTATTACAGTGTGGAGAGAAGGGTGGCGTGTTGCACAAGACTGCAGTGTGTGTGCTCAGTCCAGACCCATATACCTCCAATGACATTTGTGCCATTGAAGTCTTTGCTGTCAAATATGATGTGGTAGGAAGTTCTGTGAGCCTGAAATGTGACACTTTCCTTTTTTCATGAATGAGCTGAAGGTAAACTTTCCCTTGAGTTGAGCCTGACTCAGATACTTTTTTGGGCAACCTCTTGCAGATTTTCAAAGAAATAAACATTTATGTAAAGGGAAAATAATGAAACAGGTGGGGACATCATTGGTCATGTAGAGATGTAATATCAAACTGCAAAAACGTTCAGAGAGAATGACTGGACATTCTATAGCTTATGCGGTCATCTGTTCTTTAGAGAGAGTAGTCACTCCTTAGGAAAGGAAGCAAGAAGAGTGTCATGGTTATTGGCTGATCTGGATGTGATGCCATAGAATGATCATAAATTAATTAAAGGAACAAAAGTAGTTGTAACTCTTGCAGTTTTCAGCTTTTTTGAGGAACACATAGCCATGAAGCATGTGTCGTTGCTGGTCCAGGATATCCAAAAAGAGATATGATTGATGTACATGGAATATGTACTTTTCTTACTTGCAACCAGAAAATATTCTGCTCATGAGTGAACCTGTGGGTTTGTTCTTCCCACTAATTCACAGTGATATGTAAAATTCATCCCATTTCCCTCTGTGTCTTAACCTGCTGTTTTGCTTAGGTCTCACTATTAATGCAAGAATAGAAGTTGTAAAATATCATTCAGTTTTGGTGCAACTTTCATGGTTTCAGAGCCAACCAAACTGATGTTTCTGCTTTTCTCTGAAAAGCAAACAGTAAATATGATAACAGCTTTGATGCTGTTAATTATTTCTGATTATTCTGCAGCATCACAAACCAAGTCAACCAACTAATCCCTGAGGCTGCAGAGGCATCATTGCACAAGGGCAATGCAGTATAAACTCGCACAGTGGTTTAGTTTATTCAGTGTTTGTTGTAACAACTTTCCATAAATAGATTGTCCCTTACTTGGTATGGGAACTCCACTACACTTTTTCCCAGCAGCTCAGAAAACTCTTTAATGCTATTTTTCTGATGCATTTTCTAATGAAGGGTTATTATTTTTAGTGGAAAAAGGAGAAAAATAACCCAGGCTATTAATATTAGCTAGCTGAAATTTTAAAAACTGGAGGTCAAACAAATGAAGCATTAAAGAAGTGTGTGTGTGTAGGGGGGGGGGACATGCATAAAACCCCAATTACACATCAACATTAAAATCAATACTATAAAAACAAAATAATTAAAGCAGTCTTCTCCAACCTTCCCAACACAACGGGGTTGTGGAGGGAACCATACCAAACATATCTAGAGGATATCAGATTGTGGAGGGACAGGAAGCTTATCTTGAAAGGGAAAAGCTGTAAGCTTTCCTTGTTTTCCCAGTGGAGGGAATTCCCCCAGTTATGTTCCTTAGTTTGAGTAGCTGGACAAATCTCTTTCTGTTGAGGGTGAAAGACCTAGTGGGAAGGTGTCCCATTTCTCTATCCCTAATTGTGGCCAGAGAGTTCAGTCTAGAGGAGGAAGACAAATGCAGAAATGAATGAGAAGCAGAAAGTGGGAAGGAAAGGAAAGGGGAAAGGGGAAAGGGGAAAGGGGAAAGGAAAGGAAAGAGGAAAGAAGAAGGAGAGGAGA